AAAATACCATGGCTTTCTCACAATTCTTTTCAACGCATGCAATAGTTATGACGAAAGACGTTAAAGAATAATTTTAGGAACTTTGATATAAGCAACACAGTTGTAGAACTAAACTTTTTTTGAAGTTAAGCTTACAATTATTTATAAGCAGACAGAGGGAGGTGATGAAGTATAGCCCTACCTTGTTTGATGTACGTGTGATTTTTTCGGATGATTTTTTTATTGATAATGAGCCCCAATCTATTAATAATAAATTATTATTATTACTAAATTATTATTATTACTAAATTATTATTATTACTAAATTATTATTATTACTAAATTATTATTATTAATCTGTTATTAAGTAGATTATTATTCTTAATCTATTATAAATAGATTATTATTTTTAATCTATTATAAAGAGATTATTATTAATCTATTATAAATAGATTATATTTATTAATCCATTATTAATCTATTATTAATAGATTACTATTATTAATAAATTATTTTTATTAATAATATATTATTAATACATAATTATTGTTAATATGTTATTAATTCAATATTCTCATTAATATATATTATTAGTACATTATTACTCTTAATATATTATTACAAATTATTAATACAATATATTAGTATTAATATACTAATGTGTAATAATATTAATGTATTATTAATACAATTTTATTAATATATTATTAATATATTATTATTATTAATTATTATTAATATATTATTAATACATTATTATTAATATATTATTAATACATTACTATTAATACATATTATTAGTAAAATCTTATTAAGTTATTAATATTAAAAAATTATTATTATGTTGAAGCTGTTTTGAGCTACTGCACTTATACTTTTTTTAACTTGAGGTTTCTTCAAAACCCCTCTCTACACCTTGACTAGATTATTTTTTATCACTTCATCAGACTAAGCAATAATTGACCTCAGATCTGCATACCTCCCCGAGGAGCCTGTAACCATTTTGAGATTTGATAACGCGGTGTTGGTAAGTCTGTCAGTTTTCGCAAATAATTTAAGGGCTTAATCATTATATCAACACATGATTAATATAATAATTTTAACACATTATTAATGTTTTTCAATAATATTGTAATAAAATGATCATTTTAATTGAATATTATTTCTTGTACTTATTTTTAATGATATCAGGCTGTTATTATTACAAAAGGAAACTCCTATACAAACGAAGCAATAATCACAAATATTTTACCTATAAAAGAATGACCCCAAAATACACGTGACTTAATCAAACTCGATACTAGTGGCCTACAAAAGAACGGGATGTCCACATAACTCATGGAGGACACTCATTAAAGATAGGACTTTATGGAAGAAGCGAATGAGTTCATATTAAGTTCAATGGAAATTATTTCTTACAAACTTAAAAAATTCAAAATGTATGTATATATATAATTACGATTTTAAAATTTCTTTTTATATAT